GAAATGTAGATTTTATCTTTTTAGCCTCTGCAATAAAGAAAAGCACACTAGAAGGGTTTGGAATGATGGTAAGCACCAATCCACCTTATTCCCTAAGGAAGCCATGAAGGATGAGAAATAAAAGAGAAAACATAGACTTAACCTTTGTATACATTGAGTTTGAAATGGTTAAAACTGAATTCATTATCCCTCTACCCCCCAAACTATCTCCCCACTCTGAATTTCTAGTTTCCATTAAAGTTACCATTATTCTGTGAGTTACCTAGTATGAAAACCAGTGTCCTGTATTTACCTGGCATCCAAAAACTACTTCTCAGTAATAAAAGTGATATTTTCCACTACAAAAGTAGTTTGAAAATACATAACTAGGAAAGGCTCTTATCATCCCAGTTGCAACTCTTTGCACTGAAAATTATAAGGGTTAGCAAATTAAACTGTTCTGACAGAGCTACTAATATCACTTCTGTAACAATGATTGCCCACCTTTTTTTTCTGTTTCAAAAGACTTAAGGGAAACATTTTCTGAGTAACAATGGCTCACTATATCTCAGGCAAAGGAGTAGGAAACTCCATATTGTATGTCTGATAATCTCTGGAGTTGTGGTAGTACAATGTGCATTTTCTCCACTGAAAATGCTGCTTGTCTGGGTGCGGTGGCTAATGCCTATAAATCCCAGCGCTTTGGGAGGCCAAGGCAGATGGATCATTTAAGGTCAGGAGTTCGAGACTAGCCTGCCTGACCAACATGGTGAAACCTCGTATCTACTAAAAATACAAAAAATTAGCCAGGTGTGGTGGTGAGCACCTGTAGTCCCAGCTACTCAGGAGCTGAGGCAGGAGAATGGTGTGAATCCGGGGGGCAGAGGTGGCAATGAGCTGAGATCGTGCCACTGCACTCCAGCCTGGGCGACAGAGCAAGACTCAGTCTCAAAAAAAGAAAAGAAAAGAAAAAGAAAATGTGGCTTAATTCTATCAATAGTAATAAAAAATTTACTCATAATAAAGATGGTATTGGATTCACACCAGCCATTGATAAGCTATAAGCATTTCATGCAGTGGTTAAAATTAAAGCTGTATTCTTCAGGTATGAGTTATAAAAATAAATGCATGCAATTAAAATATCTTCGAAATATACTAACACAAATTATAATGCATATGGCAATAAATCATCAATAAATATTAAGTAAAACAAAGGTCAGAAATGTGGAAATACTAGAGCAGAGTTGGAGCCTCCTATTCAGACTTGATTGATTCAGTACTAATAAATGGATAGAAAAGTATTTTAGAGATCCTCAATTATTGTAAAAAAAATGTGGATTTTTACTCAAATGACATTATAACATAGAGGACTCAATAGATCACTGACATTTTGGTTTATATGAGTTAACTGTTATACTTTACCCAAAGTCGTTAAGTTATATTTGCCATAAAACCTGATTTATAACAATGTTCTGTGACACAGATGCTACCGATGGCTGTAATATTGGGCTCCAATAGTTTAATAGTAACATGATTATTCTACAAGGCAACACAAGAATCATATGTCAACCAATAGTCACATATATCAGAAAAAAGGAAACTCCTGTCACAATGGAAGCTAATAATTCTCCAAACTAGAATCATATTTTTTATCTGGAAGCTATTCAGTAAATAAATGATATTGCAATCTACCTATAACCAACCCCTACTTCAACACAATCTTTCCCTTGGAAAAACTGTTTCTTGTTGATCTGAATGTATACAAATAGCTACAACAGGACAAATGCTATAAAAAAGAAATCATACAAACTGTGTTGGGAAAGCAGAAATGAGAGTAATAACCTTTTTTTGTGTCTGGGGGGAGGGTGAAGAAAGATTCAGGAAATTAGGAAATCTTCAGAATTAAGGATAGATTCAGCCTGGGTCTTGAAGGATGAGTAGGACATTACCATATAAACAAAGGGAAGGAGGGGCATCTAAGCAGAGTACAGTGACTGAAAAGGTATGAGGTGATAGGGAAGATCATAGGGTATTCAGGCAACTGAGAATAAATGAAATTACCAGAGCAAAGGGTATTTTGAGGAGTTATTATTTAAAAGGGCCCTGCTATGAAGGACCAGTGTGCCATGCTTGAGCCCATTGTTGGTATTCAATAAATATTCAATGTTCAATGAAAAAATTTTAAAAAGAAATCTCAAAAGCAATGAAAATCCATTAAAGTCTTTTCAGTAGGGGAGTATCTTGATTAGGCTGAATTTTAAATGAATTGGAGAAGAAAAAGAGTGGAAACTAGGAGACCACTTAAAAGCCTTTTGCAGCTCTTCAGACAATAAGTCATGTAGTCCATCGCCTCATTGTATGGGTGAGGAAGCTATGATACCAGAGAAGTCAAGTGGTTTGTTCAAGGTCTCAAGAGTCAATTAGTAGCAAAATTAGCTTCAGCCCTATGTCCAAACATATTTTCTACTGTATTTCCTTACCTACAAATTTATTATTCACTGCCTAAGACTTGAGATATCTGTAAGAGGATTTCCATTGTAATGGTGCAGTGGTACAATGATACTAGTAATTGCAGACAAGACTAACTGGTTAATATTGTTTAAGAAAGATTTTTGCATTTTGTAGTCTTTTTTAGGGAGATTCTTGGTATATTAAAAATGAATTTGATGTATAAATCAGTAGACCAAAGTAACTTACTGCGTCTGATTAGCTGTTTTTAAATTGTTGCTTATTTTTTTAAAGGCAAAAAAACATAACCAAGTGTTTATTTGACAACAACAACAAAAACTCCTCTTTACATTTTTCTAGAGGTATTATTTTCTCTTGCCTATGAAACTTTCTGGCCATAAAGTCAGTATCTAATCACTGATGATCCCCAGCATTCTATCTTTCTCTATCCTTGCTGCTTCTTTTCATTTTTCAATTCTTAATCCTTCCTTTCACTTCCCCCCTGTATTACAACAACTAACAGCTGCCAAGAAAGTGGATTAGGTCATATATTCAATCAGGAGGTTTTCCCGTTACTCAAGTCACTTTCTTAGTATACTGAAACTAAAAAATAGTTATGGTTTTTGTCTCAAAAAATTAAGTTGGACTTATATTTTATTATTTGAAGGTTGGGTAGCAAGAAGCAGGTCTAAACTTATAAAAGCAAAGCAGTAATTTTGGATCTTCAACTCTCTATGTCTGTCTCTAGCTGTTTTCATTTTGATAATACATCTGAACACTCTCCTCTAACTTACTGATAATCAGTCTGTATTGTTCTACCTTACTTTGTAGACAATTTGGCATCTCATATCCCACTGCAGGATCAGTGGGACCCACACTGGTGGAGAAAATCATGCAGTCTCTCCATTAGGAAAGGAGAATCAGACTGAAGACTCCTGGCTTGCTCTGATTTCTAATAATAGGCTGGTCTCACTGGGCCCAGGCTGTTCTAAATCTAGAGTAGTTCTGAAATACTGAGTGTGAAATAGGCAATGGTAGAAATTCTTAGGACCCCTGTAAGACAAATCAAAATTCCTTCTAATATTCTTTTCTCCCATCATTTCCTGCACTGTGCTAGGGCAAATCCAATCTCTTAAGGGCCATTTCCTACATGCAACCATTGAGTGCACTTTGGCCCCAGTATAGCTTTATAAATCTCACTAGATAACTGTGGGAACTCCATCCATGAATCATAGTATCAATAGTATTCATGAACTCCATCCATGAATCAATGGTCTGCAGCTCAGAAAGCACAAAGAACAAAATAAAAGTTTGAAAACTTACAGCTTTCTCTGCCAGATATTTTTTGCCAAATATCTTAGACTCCTTTGTGTTGCTGTAACAGAATACCCACAGACTGGTAAATTATAATGAACAGAAATGTATTTGGTTCATGGTTCCGGAAGCTGGAAGCCAACATCTGATGAGGACCTTCACGCGGCATCATTCCATGGCAGAAGATAGAAGAGCAAGAGAGGGTGATAGCATGCCAGAAAGTGCCAAACTTGATTTTATAAAAAACCCACTTCCAGGCCAGATGCAATGGCTCACACCTGTAATCCCAGCACTTTGGGAGGCCACAGCAGGAGAATCGCTTGAGCCCAAGAGTTCGAGACCAACCTGGGCAACATAGGGAGATACTGTCTATACAAAAAATGAAAAAGTTAGCTAGGAGTGGTGGCACTTGCCCTGTAGTCCCAGCTACTTGGGAGGCTGATATGTGAGGATTGTTTGAGCCTGAGAGGTCAAGGCTGCAGTAAGCTGTGATTGCATCAGTGTATTCCAGCCTGGGCAACACAGCAAGACCCTGCCTCTGAAAAAAGAGAAAGAAACCCACTCCCACAGCATTAATTCATTAATTCATTCATGAGGGCAGATGCCTCATGACTTAATCCCCTTCTAAAGGTCCTATTTCTAAACACTGTTGCATTGGGGATTAAGTTTCTAACACACAAACTTTGGAGGATACATTTAAAACATAGTACTAAATATTCATTGTGAACTCATGTACTTGGAATACCTACTGGCAAAAATAAAAAAAGAAAAAAGAAAAAAATTCCATATTCCATGTTCCCATAACTGTGGTTTATATTTAGTGAAGCATCAAATGGGCATGAGATAGAACTATTTTTTTTATTTACACAAAACTTGGCCCTGAAATATTTAACCAACAGAAATAGTACTAATAAAATTATTCTATGAAGCAATTTTTAATGAAGCAGAGTTTATTCAAGTCATGTCTTCTGCAAATAAAAATGGACAGCAATAAACAAAAACAAAGGTAGAAAGAATAACTATGTTCTTGATGTCTCCCCTAAAGTTCACAATCTCTACACCTGTTTCTTTCATCTTCGGTGATGTTAATCTTCTGTTTATTTTGCTGCTTTAAATCTAAGCATATGTAGATTACCCAGAGATTGCTCTCTAAAAGTCAGATTACACCTGTTCTTTCTTACCTCACAAAAAGTAATGGAAAAAAAAGTTTGTGTGTGTGTGTGTGTGTGTGTGTGTGTGTGTGTGTGTGTCCTGTTGGTGGTTAAAAAGCAATTTGGGACTTCCTCTTTGAACAGTTGCCTTTTCCTCTCACACAAGGAGGATTTCATTTTGTTTGAGACGAGAAACCAAACCACACACCAAAGAGAGGGGTATGATGGCTAAGAAGCCCCCAAAACCAGCCCCTCGCAGGATCTTCCAGGAAAGGTTAAAGATTACTGCTCTACCTTTGTACTTTGAAGGTTTTTTGTTAGTCAAGCGGTCAGGATACCAGGTGAGTCTATACATGATAATGTTAAACCTAAGACTTCTCTTTTAATTTAATATTTATTTCATGGTGATGTGATGTGTTGAGACCCCCTTGTTTCTGTTGAAATTAAATCATCTTCTCTTCTTTGAGCTCAGAAATGATTCCAATTTTTCATAATTTAAATACAATGTCTGGCTTAAACCTGTATGTCTATGAATATATAATATGTATAATAACACAGGTTGTAATATTAAGGCACTAATATAAAAAATTCAATAAGCTAAATTTCCAAAGAATTCCAAAGAATTTAAATATCACAGAAGACTTTGGCTTGGGAGATAAAATGTTTCCTGTATTTTCTCCACAATTTATTGCTATGCTTCAATGATGAGATGTACCATTAAGATAAAATATCATTATTGAAATTAAACCTGCTCCTGTTCTCAGTCATTTGAAGTTTATAATGATCAAATTATTAAAAATGGCTTTTGTAAAAATTGTTAAAATGACAAAGTTCGTGCTGTTTAACATTATATAGTGTTATGTGTTCTAAAATACTATTCAAGATAGTGGCTTTTAATTTTGGGGGTACTACTGTGGATATTAAGTACACTAAGCTACACAAATACCTTTGCTCTAAGAAAATCCATGAAGCATTCTGTATTTTTGAATGTAATAATTAAAACTTATAGTTAGTTAAAATCATTACTTTTAAAATAGTAATTATGGATGACTTGAAATTAATTAGAGAAATGAGCCCAAAATTGCCTGTTATTAAAGAAAAAATCATTAACTTACGTCAAATTTTATGAAATTGTATATTGACTAAAACTAGAAAAACTTTACGGTTTTCAGAAATTCCATCAGAAATGTTTAATGATGATAAAATATATTTTCTGAGGATTTATGAATACTTATGGAAAAATTATATATATGAAAAATCTGTAATAGCATATTCATATTTCTTACATATATAATCAGATCATTTACTATTTGAGAGTAAAGACATGGTAATTTGTATTCTGTTATGGATGTTAAACATGCATAAATAATTATCTTTCAGTTATACTAGAATATTTTCAGGTTGTTCCTACATGCTTTTAATGTAAATTTAATCTTGTCACCACAGGTAAGCCACATAGTCACACTTTGCCAGGAAAGGGAAGTTGAGAAAAAAAAAAAAAATCTAATTTGTAATTTAAATTTGGTTGTTCACTGAATGTTTTCCAAGGTGTTTGTAATAACTGTTTATGATAGCAGTTTTTTTTAAAATGCTTAAAGAAGGTACGTCATTGGTATGGTTAGCAGAAAGAATAAGAATTTTAGAGTGTCTTTATCTGATGGTTTTGCCACTTACTGCTCGTTATCTTGTGCAAGTTACTCAATCTCCTTGAGACTGTTTCTTCAACTATAAGATAGAGAGTACACTACTTGCTACTTGCCTCCTAAGGCACATTCTGGGACACAGTAGGTGTTCAAGCAATTTATTCACTCAGCATTTATTGTGTGCCTTCTATGCACCAAGCATCACTTTTATTTCTGGAGAATATGAAAAAAACACAAAGATTTTATTTTCAAGAGGCTTAATATAGTAGGAATGATGTCTTCCTTACTGAATTTCTACTCTTTACCTTCTCTTAGAAAGCATTATTTGAAGCAGAATGAATAACCATAGGCATAAATATTTCCAATGAAATTAACTTGTTTCTATTTGAATTTATAATAAAGTACCTGTGTGTGTGTGTGTGTGTGTGTGTGTGTGTGTGTGGCAGTGTCTCCTCTGTTGCCCAAGCTGGAGTGCTGTGGTGCAATCACTAGTCATGCAGCCTCAACATCCCCAGCTCTGGTGATTCTCCTGCCTCAGCCTCCTGAGTAGCTGGGACTACAAGTGCGTACCATACCCAGCTAATGTTGGTATTGTTTATAGAGACAGGGTTTCATCATGTTGTTCAGGTTGGTCTCAAACTCCTGGGCTCCAGCAATCTGCCCACCTTGGCCTCCCAACGTGCTAGAATTACAGGTGTGGGCCACTGAGTTAGGCTACAGAGTACCTTTTACTTGTATGTCAGGGAGAAGAGAGCAAGAGGATGACAATAATGCCTACTTATGTTGTGGTTTCAGGGATAGCATATGTAAAACACCTGGCTCACACTAAAGGTTAGATTCATTCTCTTACCCTTTCATCACTTACCATATTCTTATTCATGTGCTAAAATTAGTTTGAGGTCTACAAGTAATATGGCTCAAAGGAGAGTGAGCATGGTGATAATTAGAGTACTTGAAAATAGTAGCTATGAGAAAAATCTAAGGAAAATAAGTGGAATTTCCAAGCAATTGGCAGCAAAGTGCCAGGGAATCTTTGAACAGAAGGTGAGCCACAGGTATATAGCCAAGTAATCTTCGGAGCTGATTGGCTGGAGGAAGTTGAGAGGCTCTGCAGAATGTAAAGTTGGGTCTCTGCCAAAGTCATTTAGAACATTTAAACTAGAAAAAATATAACTGAAGAGTAACCTGGTCTATAAAGGCATTGAATGTTGAGAGGTGTTTCTTAGCCATTTTTTGTGTGGGGCACTTTTAAGTATTTAGAGAGCTTTTCCCCAGGAAAATGTACCAACGTATACCATTTTGCATGCAATTCTAGAAGGTTTCTAAATCTGAGGTCAAGAACCCATGAAAAACACATAATCTTTATGGAAAAGATAATGTGGGAAGATTTATTTAAACCACATCACTATGATTCTGGATTAACCAGGAAGATGTATTTGATAATAAAAACTATTAAATGCCACAGTGGAATACCAATGGCCTCGCAGTTCTTACAAATGGGAAAATTGCTCATTTTTTATGGGACCGTTTGAAAATAAGACAGAGTTTGGGTGGGCCAGACGCCATGGCTCATGCCTGTAATCCCAGCACTCTGGGAGGCCCAGGTGGGCAGATCACGAGGTCAGGAGATCGAGACCAACCTGGTCAACATGGTGAAACCCCGTCTCTACTAAAAATACAAAAATTAGCTGGGTGTGGTGGCACATGCCTGTGGTTCCAGCTACTAGGGAGGCTGAGGAAGGAGAATCACTTGAACCCGGGAGGCAGAGGTTGCAGTGAGCTGAGATGGCACCACTGCACTACAGTCTGGCAACAGAGCAAGACTCTGTCTTTAAAAAAAAAAAAAAAAGAAAGAAAAGAAAGGAAGAAAAAAGAAAAAGAAAATAAGAGAGAGTTTGGGCAATGTCTCGTAATTCCTTCAATCTGTGATGTGCTAAAATTAAAAAAAAAAAAAAAAAAAAAAAATGTGTGTGTTGACCGGGCGCGGTGGCTCATGCCTGTAATCCCAGCACTTTGGGAGGCTGAGGCGGGCGGATCACGAGGTCAAGAGACCGAGATCATCCTGGCTAACACGGTGAAACCCCATCTCTACTAAAAATACAAAAAAATTAGCTGGGCAAGGCGGCGGGAGCCTGTAGTCCCAGCTGCTGGGGAGGCTGAGGCAGGAGAATGGCGTGAACCTGGGAGGCGGAGCTTGCAGTGAGCCGAGATCGCGCCACTGCACTCCAGCCTGGACTACAGAGCGAGACTCGTCTCAAAGCAACAACAAAAACAGTGTGTTTAATATGTCTTATTAACCTGAACATAAGCATGGGATCATCATAACTATATCAAAATCGTATTCCTCTAATCTACTCATCTCTAATTCATTTAGTGAAACTCCGTCTCTACTAAAAACACAAAAATGAACTGGGCGTGGTGGTACACGCCTGTAATCCCAGCTATTGGGAAGGCTGAGGCAGGAGAATCGCTTGAACCCGGGAGGCAGAGGTTGCAGTGAGCCAAGATCGTGCCACTGCACTCCAGCCTGGGTGACAGAGCGAAACTCCGTCTCGAAAAAAAAAAAAAAGTAAATTTTTTAGGGCTGTCTAAGTTGTGCTCACAAACAGTTCTCTACGGCAGTAATCTCCGAATTTTAAAATAACACACTCCTTTCAGGGAAACATTTTGAGCACAGATCCTTAAAATAAGAATATTGATTCATTTAGAAATTATAAACATATATAGTCCCATACTATTACTCCATATAAATTAAGATATATAAAAAATGAATTAAGAAACATAAAATATAATTAAATATTCTAAAATTTTCTCTCCCAATGGATCATCTTGCACACCTTTGGAATTTATGCATCCCATTTTGGAGACCACTATACAACGTTCTTCCTTAGGTAAATGTACTTTATTTGCTCACAAAAAAAGAAAGAATGAGAGCTTTTTATTGGGGAAAGGGGAAGAGAAACTTAACTGGAGCTTGCATTGTAATTCATTTTTGCTAGTTAATTCATTTTTGCTAGTTATATTAATGAAAAAAGAGCACTGGGGAGGCAAGAGATAAAAGTATCAGTCCAATTCTAGAATTTGGGCTATTCCTTCACATTTTTAAATCTATTCCCTCCTTTCTGAAAAGAATAATTACTCTCTTGCATAGCTGAATAGGTTGCTCCAATGACTAAGTGGACTATATAATAATGAGTACAACCTTTTGAGGTATAACATACAATGGATACCATTCTAGGCTCTTAGTGTTCTGTCACTCTGATCCTTACAGTAACTCTTCTGGGTAGAAATTATTTTATTCACTTCACAAATGAGTGAGTAGGTGGGGCATGCTGGCTCATGCTTGTAATCTCAGCACTTATGAAGGCCAAGGCAGGAGGATTGCTTGAGGCCAGGAGTTGGAGATCAGCCTAGGCAACATAGCAAAACCCCATTTCTACAAAATCAAAAAATTAGCCAGGTGTGGTGGCACACCCTGTATTCCCAAATACTGGGGAGGCTGAAGTGGTAGGATCACTTGAGCCCTGGAGTTCGAGGCTGCAGTGAGCCATGATTGCACCACTGCACCCCAGCCTGAGCAACAGAGCGAGACCCTGTCTCTCTAAAACAACCCCAAATAAACAAATGAGTGAGTTCTGGCCACTGAGTTTATTCAAGGTTCCTCTTCCATTAAGGAGGCTAGCTTGGATTTGATTGTG